CTTTGTTTTTGCTGCTAATCAATAAAAAATGGTGTAATAAAAATGGAAAAGGATAGATAAAGAGACATTAGCTGTAATTCAGAAGTTTTTGTTTGTCTGTTAACTAGTGAAATTTTTTCTCTTTTTTTCTTGAAACAGACTTTTTAAAACTAAAAAAATGATTTAAATAAAGTACCTAAAAATTTAGTACACAACAGACACTCAATTATTGTTTTGTAAATGAATGTGTGATTGACTTATGTCTACAACATTTCTGCTGTTTCTCGATAATTAATTCCCTAATGGCCATTGATACTTCAATTATCTATTAGTGACTGCTTTTGTACATTCTGTCTACAGAAGGAGTTAAGCAGAACACTCCAATATTTGATCATGTAAGTTCTGTTGGTATATACACATATATGTATGTATGAATGCTTGGAGTATGGGATGCTACCTTATGTATACATACACACATATGTACCAACATACAACTTCATATTTTATAATATTGTATGTGTTTTACTTAATGTATACATCACAATATTTAAAAGAAGGATTCCCAAGACCCAATTCATCACTTCAGCATGCTTGAGAGTAAGCATAGTCCAACTTTGTATACCATTTAAGTGGAAGTAATTTTTCATTGTTTCCTTCATTAGTTTATTTTGCCCAGCCATCACAGTTTCCTAGGCAACAAACAACACCACTGAAGCATCATTTTTCTTCCTTGCTTTATGTAGCAAGAAGATTCTATCTCCAACTTGGAAACTCTAGCATCTCCATCTATGCTGACACTAGTCATAAGAGATCCTAACATTAAAGAAGGAATTATCCCAACCTTCATATTTGCTGTGACAATTCTTTCCTTTTGGAAAGTTGGTTTATTTCCTCAGAAGAAATCTGAAGATCTTGAAGACAAATTATCTACATCAACAAATTCCTTATGTTTAGCTCAACTTGGCAGAGATCCTGATCATTTTTTTTAAATATACTGTTTGTGCACACTAAGGTGGACACCTAAGAACTTTCAGGGTCTTGTTGACTAGGCAGTGGGAAATCAGGCAGAATTTTACCTCTGCCTGTTTCCTATCCACAGACTCTCCTTGTTCCTGGTGTCTCTGCTAGTTGATTTCCTGAGACATCAATGCTCTTGGAATTCTACCTCCAAGGATCTGTCTCATAGGAGCAGTGAGCTAACACTAAAATCATTGGTACTTTCTCTGGCATGCTTTTAGTTTATTCAGTCCTAGGTTGTTCACTATCAGAGAATTGTCTGGAAATTCTCTATTCTTGTACATTAACCTCTCCTATGTTTTTTTTTTCCCTTAGAAGACAATTTTATGTGACAAAATGTGGGATGACTGGTATCTAAAGAGCATTAGTCTAGGGTGACAACGGCCAAATTACTCTCAGCAAAATTTGCACTTGCTAGCAGCAGCCTGGAATCCCAAAGACTTTGGGAAAGGCTATGAAGCTCGGTATGATAGGAATTAATTGCAGTTTCACATTGTTGAACTCACGGTAATACACTGGCATGCTAGGGAACTTCAGAATGATACAAGGAGGCAAGTGTCTTGTTATCTGCACTTTATATAAAGTAGATCTCATAAACTAAGGCTGAGATGAAAGGGAATGCTTTCAACATCAATAGAAATGCCTGGATACATGAACACTGTGTGAATTGTGACACGATTTCAAAGTCTTATCGGAAGATGAAAACATGAGATTATTTGCCTGGAGAATGGGAAACTGAACAAGATTGAAAGAGGATTTAATAAATCTTCAACCCTATGAGGAACATTGCCAGGCTGTTCTTTATTTCCAGTGAGATAAAACCCAGAGATTAACATCAGGATGAGGAAGTTAGGTTAACTCTATGGAAAAACAGCTTGATGTCAATGGTACTGTTTTAGAAAACCCCACCAAGAAAATAAGGAAGGTAATTGCAGAAAAAAATGCCTATTTATGAGTAGTTTATGCAGTTGGTTAAATTATTCAATTATTGATATTAGATAACCAATATTTATCAGGCTTTTTAAAAAGGCATATAGAGTTTGGTAGATTAAAAAAAATCATGCAAAAAACCCAAGCACAGGGCAGGCTTTGACAATATCACAAGAGGAATGCATCTTGGAAATTCATAAGAAAATCCTTGTGCATTTAAAGTGATCAAGAAAATGCTCAGGTTAAACACATAACAAACCACAATTTTAGTGAGTGAAAAATAGTCTGATGGGGTTGTATGTGAATGTTTATTTGTGTTTGTATTTTTTAGGAAAGGGATGAAAATTTTGTTTCAAGGAATAACATGCAAGAACTTAGCAACAATGTTCACAAAAGAGAGGAGTTTCATTCACTAAAAATGAATAGCAAGCTAGTAGATGATATGTCCAAGGGAAAAATAATCCAACGAATAGAGTTAAGAAGAGAACTTGAAATAAAGAGACAAAAAGAAGTAAGAGAAAGGTTACTCAAATGCCATCCATTTGTGCTTGTCCTCCTTTTCCTCCTCCTTCCCATGGCTTCATCTGGTTTGAAAACTGCAATCCTCTTGCTTCAGCCTCTTGAGTACTAGGGTTATGGAAACATGTCATTCTGCCTGTCTCATTTATAATTTCAATAGATAATGCAGCATATATGGCAAGCACTGGAATCACTGAACCAGTATCTCCCACTTTTATGAAGTTTACAATTCACAGGTAGACAACACTGAGAAGTACTTTTGATGACTACAACTGAAAAAAAAAAGGCTTCAGAGGACATGAACCTCAGGGCAAAGATGCGGAACTGATGGGAGTAGTTAAGGGGATGATAATATGAGATAAAGATTCATATTGGCTTCTGTAGAAGCCAATCCTTTTAACAATACACAGAACAGGAGAATCTGTTTTCTCCAGTGATGAACCCTTGACAGATTATCAAATCCTAAGTAATTCCTAAACACATTTACATACCACCAATACTAAATAAATGCAATAGACTCTCTACTATGTATGTATGTATCCTCTTATCTAGTATCTATGTATCTATCTATCACCTCTTTTCTATGTAGCTGTATCTATATCTTATCTATGTCTTCATGTAACAATAATGAGGAAGAAATCATAAATTTGAGAAGTGGGGGCATGTGAAGAGTTGGGGTTGGAAGAAGGAGGAATAGAAATGCAAATAAAGCACTGTGTATGAAATGATCAAAATAAATCTTAAAAATTAATAACAGCACAAGTGAATATACAGAATGGGATTCCTTAGAAGAATTTAAATATATGGGTGACATAAATGTAATTGGATTCAGGAACAAAAAAACTCATCACTTGTCCAAGATGCAGAATAGATAAAAATAGAGTAAATTTTACATGGAAAATGAGTTAGTTCAAAAGCTGGTTTAGTATTCTAAGGGAACAGATGATGTTATCCAGGATCAGATTGTGGTTGTGGGGATGGAGATAAATGAACCAGTGGACACCTAGTTTTGGAAGAAGAGATGCCAGAGATAGTAGTAACAAGCCTTATTAGCACTAGAGTTTCTGCATAGCTCAAGAGAAGTTATGATCCTATGTTTTTGTGGAACTGAATTGCAATGTATGAGTATTTGCAAAGCAATAGATATGGAAAGGGAGCTGAATTTCAAGGAAACATTAGGAGACACCTTTGAGACCTTAAATAGATAGTTCAATAAAGAGTTGAATTCACAACACTGAAGCTCGTCTGGCCTGTGGTTTAAGATATTAATATGTACACCTTCCAAATGAGGACAGAACAAAATGAGAGGCAGTAGTGATAGTAATCAGATAAAGAGTGTATTACAAATAAAGAAAAGATGGTAGAATATATATTAAGAAACTTTGGGGACTTGGAGGAAAAGCTCAGTCCACAAAGCCCTTGTCTCACACACATGAAGACATGAGTTCAATCTCTATGACCCACATAAAAATGTTAAGATTGTGACATGTATACATATCCCAAAGAATGTGGAGGCAGAGGATCCTGGAGGCTCACTGGCCAGTCCATCGAATTTAATTGTGAGAACCAGGTCAGTGAGTCTCCATCTCAAAAGAAAAGGGAAGGACCCCTAAGGATGATGTCTGAGGTAGTTTTATGGCCTCTACACACATGTATGTAAATGTGCACAAGCATCCAAATACCATGTGAATATGTATGCATACACACACAACAAAACTCTAAGAAATAACAAATAAGATGAAAATGTGATATGAAGTTATCTTCAGAGAATTTGGGAGGGTAGAAGGAAAATAGGAAGAATGGAGAGCTACAGACACCAAGCAAAGAGTATTCAACAGGAAGAATTGATTCATAGTGTCAGGTGCTCCTGAGGCCAGATAGGAAAAGGCCAGATCAGACCCGGGAACAGAGTCAGAGCCCAGAAGCAGTGTCAGAGGGGGCTCCAGCCTCAGACCCGGGAGCAGCAGTGTCAGAGGAAAAGGCTAGAATGCTCATGAGATCATCAGGAGGCAGAGTGTAAGTTTCTTTAGATCTTCATCTCATTGCGAGGCACACTTATGTGTATCCTTATCTGGGATCCTACTGGAGAGTACTCATTTCTGTTCCAGACTGAGGGTGGCTTCCTCTACCTCCCTAACGAAGATTAGTTCTATTTTGTGCCTTCACCCATATAATAGATCAGTTTTGCTGCTGAAGGAAGGGACTGAATTCCTGACCTGAAATGAAAATTTCTCTTTCTAAAACATTCTGCTCCAAACTCTGAGTATACTTATCTCCTATTATCAACTTGATTTCATTTGCAATCAATTTAACCTATTTCATCCACTGGGGCTGCCCTTGAAGACATGGAGTGGCTTTGCTGAATGATGCAATTTAAAGATAGCAACCTCAAAACAGAAGTTTTTAGTTTAGGAACAAAAGTGATTCTCCTAACACTATCAAAGCATGAATTAAATTTATCTTTGAAAATCAGCACTCTAATGAGTATTTTAAGCAAGAAGAGCTGGTTACCTTGTGCTTTAGATTAAACTTTAAAATGAGAAAGAATTAATTACCTTTCCCGCCTTCACTTTCAAAGGATAATCTCCTTCTCCGTAGTTTACCAGTGTCCCCTTCAGAATCATTTATGGATTGGGACTGCAGCAAAAGATCAGCTTTTGTTAATGGGATTATTCAACTTGAATATAATATATTATCAGTGACCTCTTTACTATGTTATATCACATCAACCACTCTAAATATTAAGACTCACATTTTTGATCAGTAGTTACAATAATTTGCTTGAAGGTTATCTCTAAATTGTAAAACATATTAACAGAATAATCCTAGTGGCTTCACAGTTTGATTGGGGGAAACCATAGTTTTCAGAAGTTATGGGCTAGGAATGTTGGAATCTGGCATTGGAATTTATAGACAAAGCTTTCCACATAAAGGAATATTTTGTATACCACAAAAAAACTTTAAAATTTTAATAATTTAGAAAAATAGAAGAACACGTATTATTGCTAGCAAAATGTATGAATTGATTAACAGCAGCAAGGATGCATACATTACTTAATAAGGACACAAAACTAAATTTTACAATAAGCATATGGCTGAGGGCAATAGATACTGTGCTGAGAGACCTTTAATACACTTGCTTCAACTCCTCCTCCTCGCTTGTCTGTACAACACCAATCTTGGAAGCCAAACCAGAAGGCCCTGCACTGTTCATTTTGGGTGCCATCTGAATAACAGGTCAAAGGCATTACCTGAGGCTCATAGTTGCTTTTTAGACAAGACCAGAATGAGGTTGGTGCCATCTGACTGAGATCACAATAAAGCATTCAATTAAAACTATTCTGAGAACATATTTTTAAGAACTGGAGACATTTTACCATATGTTTTAATTTTTTCATTTTTTCAAAAAGAAGTTAGCTCAGTTAGCTGAATTAGAACACCGAATGGCCACCTGACAGCCTTAGAAACTGCTATTTCTTAAGTCTCTCAGAGTGCCTGGAGATGCTTGCAACCCCATGGAGACTTAAATCCAACATCTTTTACCTGAATACTGCCCTAGGGAACTTTTCCATAGAATACATATGCAAATATACTGGGTAAGTACTAAGTGCTCAATGTTTTGATTTATGAGAAAAGGGCATTTCGAACTGGAATAGAGTTTCTGAAATTTGGGAAACTAACCTAGTGATAAATTGCGAGTTACAATGTAAGTTGTCTTTCCATAGGACAAGACTAGTTTGTAGATCACAGGTCACAGTGGAGCACAGGAAGAGCCACACTCACAAAATCATTATAGGTTAGGTGATGTGTAGAATTAAAAATACAGTATGTTTTCTATTAGACCATATTTTATTCATCCCATAGTCTAGATTTTGACTCTACTGAAAAAGTTAATTAATTCATACTTTATTAATTTGAAAATTGAGTATAGTATTAATCTAAACTTAAATAAGGCTATTGTTTTCAATATTACAGGCTAATCAATAGCAAGTGATATGATTGAAATGATAGATGAGGGAATTTTAAAAATTGCTTGAAACCACTCATTTTCCTACAAATAACATAATATAAATCAAGACTCTAAGAACTATCCAGGCGTTGGTGGCACATGCCTTTAATCCTAGCACTCAGTAGGCAGAAGCAGGCGGATCTCTGTGAGTTCGAGGCCAGCCTCCAAAACAATACAGAGAAACCCTGTCTCGGAAAAAAAAAAAGACTAAGAACTTCCAAAAAGTTCAAATTTAATTGACATTTTAAAGATTATTCAACATCCTTTAATACTGAATTCCTGCCCTATAATTTATTAATTTTAATATTACAGCTGACCTTTTCACTTAGTACTTAATATTGATAAGTTTTCATTGCAATCTTTTGTTTGTTGTTTTCAGAAGCATTTGGCAAAGCTCTGAATGACATTTCAGAGACAGGAAGGTCAGCAGTGGGCCTCTACCTTTTCACTCTCATGTCTCAGGTTGAAAGTCAGTTCCAGGTTAGTCAGGAAGTGGTCAGAAAACTCTGGATACATATCCAAGACCTCCAGTAAGTCTTCTCGCTGGATCTTATGCAGGTCACAGTATGTGAGCGCTCTCACATCTGCATTAGACTTGCCAGGTTTGGCATAAAGATGAACCATTTCACCAAAGATATCATTTTTCCCTAAAATAAACCAAAAAGGAAAAGAAGAGGAAAGAAAGAAAAAGAGGAAGAGAAAGAGAATTAATGTTTTCTTTATAAACATGGAAAGGGACATTAACTAACTGACAAATCTTTGAACCAGATTTCAAATGTAAGCACCTATGCCAGCAGGTGCATGGAGAGCAAAATTCTGTCCTGACTGACTGTACAACGTTTGTTGAGTGAAGCTGTTTTCTTCTTAAAAGTCAAGGGTTCTGTTATAATCTCGTTAATTTCTTCATTTAGGTTCCTTTGCTAAGCATGGAGGATCCAGAGGATGTCTTCCTTTTGTTACACTCCAGAGTGCTAGCTATGGATCTTGCCGTATAGTTTTCTAAACATACTTTCAGGTGGAAGTGTTCTGATGTTGTCAGTCCAGGAATAGGAGAGGCCAAATTGAATTGGATACATGTTCTCTCTGTTCAGCAGTATCATGTCTGGAGTTTTTGCCAATGAACATCTCCGTTCCTCAGCACTCACATATGTGGGCAAGTGATATCAATACACACTGCTTCCTCAAGGCACCCGTTTTGAATGTGCCTCCAAAGCATCTGTCCTTTTGTTTCAATTATTTAGCTGTGTGTCCTCCACACACGTAGTCTGGGTTTGTTCACCTGTTTTCTGCTCTGAACTTTATCCTCTTTGCTCTTCTATGAATACTGGGATTATTTCAGTATCTGGATTCTGATTGCCCTCCCATCCCCGCTGTTTTACCATATGCTGTCTGATTTTCAGTTTTACTCAATAACAAGAATAAGTATAACGTATATTTCCTGAGGACTGTGTAGATGCCAGGTACTGTGAGAAGTGTTTGTTTATATTATGCATATGTGTTATGCATATGCATGTATATTATACCTCAAAATAATTTTGTGAAGATGTGGCTATTCTCAAAAATTTATTAATACTGAAACAAAATTAAAGAGGAGAACTGAACAGCGTAGGGTTATTTCTTAGTTGGGTGAAATGGAAGAAGGAAAATTAGCCAGGATTAAAATCAATGCATTTTGACACTGGAATCAACACCCTTACCTGTCTAAGATATCAGACTTCCCAGTATATCTCAAAAACTCATGGGCATTGTTTTGTTTTTGAATATCAAGATACTCTACACCCTTAGTAAATATGGATAGACTACATCATGAAATCACTTTTAAAGGTCATTAGTAGCAGTGCAAAATGGTACTTTCTTCACATATCCTGAAGCTTGCTTCTTTGCTCCTTTCCTCTGTGTGCATTATGGTAGCTTTTGATAGATTACCACACTTACCCTCCATTTTTAGGAGCTATCAAGATGTTTAAACAACAAAGCTCCAACAAGTCAAAAATGCTGAAATGTTCTCATTTTAAATGAGAATTTAATAAGGAAAAGTCAAACACCATATACTAATAATTAGAGAGAAGACATTAGGCACAATTTAATAAATACTTATTAGATTTTGAAAATCATAATGAATACTAATAATTTTTGATGCCAACATTTTGGAAATTGGGACCACAAAGGAGAAGCTTTTGAAATTCTTTAGTTTGGATGACTTAGTCTAAATATTTTTTAATGACTCTGAACTGTATTTGCATGGGGTTTATATTTTAATTATCTTCTGTGAATATAGATGAGCAAAGAGGAAGCCCTGAGATGCTGAGCAGCAATTTATACTCAGTGCTGTTTAAGCACAGACGCTAGTTGTTTTTCACACAGACGCCAGGACAGGCAGGATTAGAGATCAGCCTCGGCTTTCCTTGGTAACACACCAAGGTGAGCTGTCAATGCCAAAGTCAGTGAAAATTTCCTTTTGATAAGTGGCCTTGAGGTGACGTAGGATGCTTTTGTCCCTTGATTCTTTATTGGTTTAGAAATCAAATTGTGTATCTTCTCAATCTGTGAATTGTTTTGACTGTAATAATAACAAAATGATCAAAATACCAAGGAAATAACTTAAACTTCTTTATTTGTGTAGGACATCTAATGACCATGCCTTGGTTCTGTTCAACAACAGACAGACAATACCCACGAACGAGTTAATGTTCAGATGTGAGAACTGAGAGCTGAGTGAAAGAAGCCATCAAGTGCACATATTGATTGAATGACTGATAGATAAGACACTGGGGAATGAACCTGGGGCTTTGACTATGCTAGGTGAGGCTCTGTCTCCCTCCTATGCCTCCAAACCCATCTGCCTAATAGTTCATAGATCTGTGCATTAAACCTATGCAAAAACTACATTTTCATAGACACTGGAGGTGGTGTTGCTCTGGGGAGGGGGATTTTTGATCCTGTAACTATGTGCTCAGAAAGAAAGATAATAGAGGTTTTTTTTTCTGTTTTACTCTTCATTACCCTAACAGTCCAAAGAAATGTTATAAGTTCATATAAAGCAGGTTTATTTTTAAAGAGACAGATTGGACTAAACATGAATGTTCCTTTATACTCAAACACATGTATTACTCATTTCATACCCTGTCATCTCTAGTGCTAATGTTGTACCTATATCTTCATTCTGTTAAGTTATGATCCCAATTTCTTGTCTAAGGATATATAGCAGATAAATGAAATTCGTTAAAATATAAACAGCTTGCCGGGTGTTGGTGGCGCACGCCTTTAATCCCAGCACTCGGGAGGCAGAGACAGGTGGATCTCTGTGAGTTTGAGACCAGCCTGGTATACCAAGCGAGTTTCAGGACAGGGTCCAAAAACAATACAGAGAAATCCTGTCTCAAAACACCAATATATGTATATATATACATTTATATTTATACAGCTCATGCAACTGTAGGCACATGCTAATTAGTATGTCTACAACATTGCATATTATATTAAGATGCTAAAGGATCAATCATGAAGCTACATGAAAAGGAAAATGTCAACTATTTTTGTATATTTGACCTCAAATGTCTAAGTAGCTGTCAACAGCTGAAGAGAATCAAGAGAATACTTACCTATTAAACAAAACTTGAGATATTAAAATATATTTTAGCAAGGTTAATTTGATATGAAACAAAACCTTAAGATGATCACTGTTAGAGAGTTTATCAGCCAGTCGGTCTGTTGGTCTGTTGTTCTAAACTAATGATTGGTTGAAACCACTCATAGCTGGAGATGTCATTATTCTGTGCCATAACACTCACCAAGAATAGCTACCACTATGTCATCCTTGAGGATTTCGATGGAGCCTCTGGATAAGAAGTACAGTGCAGTTAGGACATCCCCACAATGGACTAGGGTGTCTCCTGGAGGGGCGTGGGTGGTTTTAAACTTCATTGCCAAAGCTCTAAGGCAGCCTTTACTTGCTCCCCGAAAGGCTTTGCAGTTTTGCAACAAAGTCTGGTTTAGATGCAGGCAAATGTCAGCTTGTAAACATTCTGGAAATCCCTTTAAGACCTGGAAGGAAAAAATAAAGAGTTTGATACTACCAGAACACCAGGCACTTCAACTTGAAATACAGTCTATTTCTTGCTCACAGATCTGAAGATGCAGTAACTGTTACGAGGGGGATTTTATAATGCATCTAGCTTGCTTCCCTTAATGAATATTTAGTTTGCTAACCATGTCAGAAGTTTTAGCTTTGTATTGTTCTGTGAATTAACTGCAGACATTCAATTCAACCCAAATGCTGTCTCATTAAAATGTAATGCCAACACATTACTCATTGCTTCTCTTCGCCTGCACTAAGTTATGCAATATCATATTGTACATAGATATAATGTAATGTGACAATCAAAAGGACACTGCTAAAAGGCAATAAAACTCAAAAGATGAAAAACCTTTTAATAGAAATTTAAATCAATTTAAATCGCCATCATGCGTGTACAGCTTAGTTGATGCAGCTTTGGTATTTGCAAATATAACTGATGCAATGTTCTTAGTCAACTCTATCTTGAATAGTCATATTTTATATACATATTTTATACTAAATATTTTGACAAACACTGAAAATAAAAAAGGAGAATAGTTGATGTACTTTGAAGGTAAAATTTAATTTTTAGTAATAGAAACAATGCTACTTTTGAAAAGTTACTGTTTAATTTAAAAACAAAGGAACAGATTAAATAATAATTTGTGATAAATGTCCCTCAGTTTGAATGAAATAAAGTGTTGTTTTACAAATTTATCAGTATGCAATAGGTTGGGGACATTTTTCTTTAATTCTTTAAGTCTTATTCTCTGGGGTGTCATGTGAAGGCTTTCGTTTTTTTTTTATACTGACTTTCCCCTGCAAGTATAAACAGTATTCTTTGGGACAGATGGAGGGATCATTGAACAGAACAATTTACAGGGTAATATTGCATTTATAGATTTTTCTTTTTCTGATTTTTATTTGTTCAACTTTAGTATACAATTCAGCATAACCAAAAACAATCATAAGTTGACTATAAGACAATTCAAGCATATTTAGTCCATAAAGAGATTTCAAATTGAATTTATTTGAGTCCAACCATGATTGTCACTATTTGGAATATTAAAACAACTACAGTGACCCACTTCTACAAAACTACCAAGTGATACAGCTGAATTGACTATTGCATAATATGAAAGGCCCATTAATATATGTGAAGGACAGTGACCACATTTTTGTTATTGTTTTATTCATCTACAGAGAGTAAAGTGTATTTTGGAAGAAAATCTATGAAATTAAAAATTTTCATAAATATGCCACCATTTGACTCTTGTGCAAGTCACTTCACCCATCCAGGTTTTCCTTACAAGATTAGAATCTTCACAATACAGAAATAGTTATATTATCGCCACACAGTGTGCCAGTTATCAAATTCTGCTTGCTCAGCTCCACACTGCCAGCATTTCCATTACTGGACTTGTGTCCAGTGGAATTCTAGCCTTCTTGTTGTATGAGTTTTTGGGTATGCATCCTCAAGCTTCCTCTTACCTTTAACTTCAGGTCCCATCATTCTTAATAGACCCCTCCAAGTTTCCCGGCCTAGACGGCAGACCCCTCTGATATAACCGCCTCTAATTACCTAGTCCTGTCTTTGAAGCCTACTGCTTTTATCTTAGTCTTATGGAACCCTACATTAATTTATGTTTCCTTGTGGAACCAATGGATGACTGCTCTTTTCCATCATCTACATTTGAAATTATTGCTTTGAAAGTATTCTTTGGCAGGTTGTGCCAAGCTGGAGATGACCTTAGTTTGGACACTGTTTTCTGAATTAAGAGCCACTTTCCTTGGGGATTCTATAGGAGAAAAACACCTGTTCACTAGCTTCTGCATGTGTCTTTTTCCTCCCTTGAAAGCCCCTTTTGGAATCTTGAATAACTCTTAAATGACCCCACTAGGATATAGATGGATAGAGCATTACACCAAGTAACAAGCTAGAGTTTTTCTTTTTGGCAAGGTATTTGTCTTGTACAGCTGGAATGAGATCCTGGCAGATTCCTTGAAATACCCGAACATAGTCAAGCCATTGTGCTTCTGTGTGTTTGTGTATGCTGATGTGTGTGTTGGTGTGTTTTGAGTTGTAAGACAGAGAGGAGGTGAAGATGGTGTTCTGTCTTCTGATTTTGTCCTATGAGATACACAGTTTGATGAACATGGGCTGAAGTTCTTGATCTTTCACTTGCCAGTTCAGAGTTTGGTGGTTATTTAACTTGTCTATGATTCAGTATCTTATTTTTCAAAGTCAAGTTAATAACATTTGCTTCACAGAATTGTGACCACAACTCAATTTAATAATGTATCTGAAACGTAAGGTTGACAGTCAATTCACAACGTATTTCTGGATTCTTGAAAGAAAAAAAAAACTGAGTACACATTTCCCCCCAAATAACAGATACGTTCTCTTTAACTAGTTTTGTTCTCTGTTAACTGAGCAGAGTTTAAATGTTTTGTATTCTAGGCATCATTAGTTTGTAGATCCCGTCATTCAACATTTCTCTGTAGTCTTATTTTCCATTCCTTCTTAAGTGTTCTGGTTCTTGTGGATGTAAGCTTTCACTGGGAATTGTCTTAAATTGATACCAGAAAAATAGGCAGCTAATGAAATACATTACCACCTTATTTTAGAATCCCAGACATCCTGGAACTCCTCACAGAACCTGACGGTCACTTGGAAAGTTTCCAGGCTAAATGGTCTAGTTTTAGTCTTCATTCTGCTAATCTGGAATCCACTGAAAAGGATTGCATTCTGCTTGAGATGTCATCGAACCTTGTTATCATAGGAGGTGATTATATAGACATTATAAAAAAGTTGCCTATATACAGAAGTCTCGTGTGACTTTGACCCTTAACCGAATTTCTTAACTATCTTTGATCATGCCAGTTGCTCAAATGTAACTGAGTAAGACTTGAAATTTGCTTGTTGGACCTCAAATTAGTCCATTGTTTGGGTTTCCCAAGTAGGTCAGTGGCTTTAGGTTTTGTGTTTAACTTTAGGAAAGAATTTTTTTAATGGTGAGTTAACAGTTTGGGACATAAAAAAGTACATTTTTTCCCTAAAAGATGGCAAGTAAGAGGTAGTTTCAAATAGGTGTTTATTCAAGACATCTCGTTCGCTATTTCTCTGTGGGTTGCTGTCATCCTTTCCTACTTATTGTACTACTTTTTTCTCTGTGTTGTTTCCCGTGTTAAACTTTCTGAATTAGAATCTTTTCATTTTCCACAGAATTCTCACATCTTAGCCAGTATTGTAGATACAGCAAAAAAAAAAAATTGGAATATAAAATAGCTAACGACAAATCAGGACCCAAGCTTGCTTGATGACAGTTACATCTCTAACCACGGTGCCCTGTATTCTTGGCTGTTAAATTGCGATGCTGCAAAGGTGTGTGTCACTGTCTGCTGTGCTATTGTTTTATTGAGAGAGTTCAGTGTTAAAGATCAAGAAGCATCACCCATGAGCAGCCAAGTGTCCTGCATCTTAGAAAAGCAGTTTCAAGTATTTACTCATTTAAATATTTAAATAGCACCAGACTCTAGGCTCAAATCATAATGGATAAAACATGTTCTGAAAATGTACCTAGTCTTCATGACAGATGAAACGCAGTTCTTACAGGTCTAATCAGAATTGGCCACACCATCTTCATGTTAAAGTAGGATATTTGAATGTGTGTTTGTGATTATAATGGAGATTCATGGAACCTTCAAGTAGCAGTTAATCTGAAGTGAGTTGAAGTCCTAATCTCATTTTTCTAACACTGCTACTGTAGGACAAATTTTTTTTTTGGTTTTTACGAGACAGGGTTTCTCTGTATTGTTTTGGAGGCTGTCAGTCCAGCCCGGCCTCGAACTCACAGAGATCCGCCTGCCTCTGCCTCTCAAGTGCTGGGATTAAAGACGTGTGCCACCACCGCCCGGCTTTGTAGGACAAATTTTTAAGACTTGCTAAAGTTGCAGAAAATCCTTCTCTATGCTGAAAGGAATCACATAACTTTATTATGTGTGATGTAAAGCCATTTGTGTTTTGCCTTCTTTTGAAGCTATGTAAATAAAAATCTGTGATACTCATAATGAATTTATAGCTTGTTTAAGTCTGAAATACTTGTTGTGATGACTATGTAAGTTTTGTAGTTAACTGCTTGTGGACTCCAAATGTAAGGAACATTGAACACAAAGAATCCACTAATAACACTTCAGCATTATTAAAGTCATTTTAAAAAGTCACACAAAACAAAGGGAAGGCAACATTATTATCTAAGAAACATTTATGAAATGTGATCAGTAATTAATTCAGAAGCATCTGACTTCATTATAGATTATCCCTAACTGTTTATGCTAATACACTGTAATGTCATGACAATGCATTCTTGTCATTTGTACTTATACTGAATGAGCATTATAGCATCAGATTGAATGTTGACATTGATGTCAGCCTAATGCTTGATATATATACTAGTCAAAAGATATAAAATATTTAATGAATAAATCCTTCTATATAAATTTTTAAATCAATAACTAAAAAACTCTTATACTATGTATTGGACCCCTGACAAAAAAGAAGTTTGATCAATTCTGATGACAATATAATTAAAGATCTATATCGTAGGTGTTTTCGATAGTTTTATGTCACATTGACACAACCTAGAGTCACCAGAGAGGAGGGATCCTCAATTGAGAAAAATGCCTCAATAAGATCAGTCTGTATGCAGGCTTAGAGAGCATTTTATTAATTAGTGACTGATGTGGCTGGTCCAGCCCATTGTGGGTGGTATCACTTCTGGGCTGGTGGTCCTGGGTTCTATGAGGAAGCAGGCTGAGCAAGTCATAAAGAACAAACCAGTAAGCTGCACTTCTCCATGCTCTCTGCCTCAGCTACTGTCTTCAGTTTCCTGCACTTTTTGAGTTCCTGTCCAGACTTCTTTCGATGGTGAACAGTGATTTGGAAACATAAGTCAAATAAACCCTTTCCTCCTCAATTTGCTTTTGGTCCTGGTGTTTCATCACAGCAATGGTAACCCTAAGTAGGGCAATAGGTTTTGATCAGTGGTGTTGAGTGAAAAAATTTCCCAACCAGGGAAATTGTCAACAAGAAAGTTTGGACATGTCATTATTATACCATCTTTCACAATGATAGGAGAGATATTTATTTACTTAATTAAACTTTCCTTGATAGAAAAACACTTCTAAATTAAGAATAGTGTGTCAGCAGCAGTAAACTGTTACTCTTTCCTTAGATTTAAGGCACAAGATTGAACGTTTGCTGCCGTCTGTCTCTGTCTGAGACTGTCTCAAGATGACTACATTTTCCAGATTCTGTTGAAAAGTGTCAATAACTTAAGCTTTTAACCCAAACAATTCCAGCCTTCTTCCACATGTTCTGAATTCAGTTTTTGAATTTGAATTCACTTTTTGAAAGAAACCAAATCTATCCCCTAACACATATTATCTATTCTGTATCCTGTAGTGTGGAGGCTGATCTATGCTTACTTAACCGGTGGCTTTTCACTCATTTCAGCTAGTGTTGCTGAAGAATGGAACATTCCCAAAGGCAGGCAGAATAGAGAGAACATTTAGGCAGCCTGACTGTGGCAAATGGTTCCCTAAATAGCAGATTAATCATGTGGACAACTTCGGTGGCTGAGTTAACTGTCATTAGGAAATGTCCTAGGGAAATTCTCTGGGTCATTAAATATACTTAAATCTTGACAAATTAGGATTAATCAAAACACAAATTAGTACTCCCTATGAACCTCCAGCATGATTATCAAACACATTATCAAGTAATATGTTAAATCTTTAGTCTCTGCCCCAGAGTACAGCATTACTATTGATAGCGTTTCCTGACTCTGGTAGAATTGCTGTTTTCATGTGGGCATTCAGCTTTTGATAAATGTTTAGCAGCTGTGAACTCATGAACCTTACATTTTGTTCTTTTTAGAAGCTAATATCTTAGCATAGTGCATTTTGTAATTTCTAGATTATTCCATATTATATCATTTCTATAGTTAGGCACTAAGAAATAGGAAACACATACAGTCTATGCTTCCTTGGTGGTTACATGATGATTGCTACATTTTTTAAACCACTGATTTTGATAGGGATCACTTAAGTAGGTTTAGCAATACATATACACATTAATTGTCTAAGTGTGAAGCTATGGCATCTTTTTTTTAATACTACATGGCTGATAAAAGTAAGGGATTATTTAACATTTAAGGTCATCATGGCAGTTTGTGGGGGAAGGATTAGGGGATTGTTAATTCAGAAATGTGGAAATATTTATAAACCCTGGAATAGTACATTAATGTGTTTCATGTAACCTGTCCACATTTAGCACACAGTTTATATTACTCAAGATACAAACCCTAACATACTTGGTCATGGCTCACAAAGCAAAAAGTCCTGAAGCAGATTTGGCTCCACCAATGATGCCTTAAAAAGTAAAGAGCATCTTTTTCCTCCACCATCCTCTTTCCCAACCAGTAGTATTGCTGTGATGCTATTTTTTAGAGGGACACATGAACTTCAACATGGTTCAATGGAGATAGGGATTATGGTGATGTGTGTGCAGAAGGCAGAAGGGAATCGCTGCTTTTAATCATCATCCAGGTTCAGGAGTATTCTTTTTTTTTCTAACTCAGTAAAAGCTTGGTTTATACGGGGTATCTCAGGATTTCTGCAGTGTGACCTCAAAGGTAACTCTAGAAACTATTAAGATTTCTAGGTGCTACAAGAAGGACCAGCAGCCTCAGGGCTAGAGTCTGAGCCTCCCCTTTTAAAGCCCTGTACAGTTAATTGAGAGAGAAAGTAGAGGAAGGGATGAAAAGAATGTACCTGTAGCTCCTTCTTCTAGCTGTACTGCAGGTAGTTCTTTCTGAACTGATTGATCATAGATGACCTGATCTTGCTCACAGTAAGGAGAAGGGTAATGTCATCTGACAGGTGACACATAAAATGATTCAAAGCATCACCTCACACCTAAAATGCTATCTTGAGATTGAATAGAGTTTTATGATCTGAGAAAGGTTTCTAGTGTGCTATATTTCAGAACCAAATTTCCTCAATATTATGTGAAGCAACAGTTGTAGTTGTCTCATTGACCAAATATAAAAAGTAAGACAAAACAAGTTAGAGGACTTTGTGGAAGAACTGAGGCTCCAAACTTAGTCCAGAATTTGCTTAAACTATTTTTATTTAGCTGTCTTTCAAGTTGGACTTCTAAAGTCAATAGCAATATGAGGAGACATAAAGTATTCATTTTTAGTAATTGGTTTTGTAGATAATAAAGACTCAAGATCCCAAGTAAATGCTGTCTTCATTTTGTACAAGAGGGGTGATGTGTTCCTCAGAAATATTAAGATTGATGAAAATGCAATTAATTGTTTTATAGGGAAAGTGAAAACTCATATTGATAATGGCTCAACTTATTATAAAATAGCTAAAAGTACCACAACAGAAATGCACTGTCTTCATCGATCAGATTTCCTTCCTATAAAATGTCCTGGAACTCTGAATATTGTGCATACTCTCAGATCCCTGCAAATTTCTGCTCCCACTAACCAAGCCCATTGTGTGTGTGCCAGCAGTTGGTTTTTGCTTTTCAACTTCACAAGTTGGTGGAATTACATAATTCAGTAATATAATACAAAAAAATCCATGACACTTAGAAAAAAGGGGGGCGATTCCCCCTTCCTTAAACGATAACATAAAGGTAAATTTTTTTTGAAAAGTCTGATAATGATGAGTCATTAAAAAACTGCAGTCAGGATGGGAACAGGAGGGATTAGGCTGGGGGAGGACAGAAGGAGAGAGGACTGGGAGACACATTTGGAATTGGGAGCCATGTCAAGGACACGGTAGAAGCCTAGTGTAATGGAAACCCCTAGAAATCTACAAGGGTGAGCTAGTAATGGGGCAATCGGAACCTGAACTAGCCATCTTCTGTAACCAGGCAAGGCTTCCAGTGGAGGGCTTGGGACAACAACTCAGTCAAAAAACCTTTGACCTATAATTTCTCTAGCCTGCAAGATATACCAGGGTAAAGGTGGTGCAGAATTGAAAGGCGTGGCCAACCAATTGACTGTTCCAACTTGAGACCTGTGCCCTGAGAAGTGGCACAGGCCTGACACTGACTGAAGGGCTAGGAAGCAGAGACAGGACAGCCCAGAGATTTAGGATAGAACCCAGCACAACCGGTACAAAAGGAGTCAATGAAATGATTCCTAATGATACTCTGCTATACTCATAGACAGGGGCCTAGCATAATTGTCATCAGAGAGGCTTCATCCAGCAGCTGATGGGAACAGATGCTGAGACCTACAGCCAAACAAGGAGAGCTTAGGGAATCCTACAAAAGAGGGGGGAGGGTGTAGGAGTTAGGGGTCAAGGACACCACAAGAAAAGCAACAGAATAAACTAACCTAGGCTTATAGGGGCTCACAGAGATTGAACCGACACTATCAGCGAGCCCGCATGGGTCTGACTAGGTTCTCGGTGTATATGTTACGGCTGTGTAGTTTGGTCTTCTTGTGGGACTTCTAACAGTGGGAGCAGGGGCTGTCTCTGACTCTTTTGCCTGCTTTTGGGACCGTTTTTCTCCTACTGGGTTACTTTACATGAAAGGTGCTCAGTCTTATTGCAACTTAATACATCACAAGTACTGGCTGGTTTTGTGTGTCAAGGTGATACAAGCTGGCGTCATCAGAGAAAAGAGGCTCAGGGGAGGAAATGCCTTGATGAGATCCAGCTGTAAGACATTTTCTCAATTAGTGATCAATGGGGGAGGCCCATCCCATGATGGGTGGTGCCATCACTGTGCTGCTGGTCCTGCTTTCTATAAGAAGGTGGGCTGAGCAAGCCAGGGAAGCAAGCCAGTAAGCATCATCCTCTGCATCAGCTTCCAGGATTCTGCCCTGTTTGAGTTCCTGTCTGTACTTCCTTCAGTGATGAAGCAATGCTGAAGTGTAAGCCAAAAACCCTTTCCTCCCCAACTTGCTTTTTGGTCATGGTGTTTTGTTGCAGCAATAGAAACCCTAACTATGACACCATGTTTGGTTGATAACCCTGGCAGTCCTATTTTCTGAAGGGAAACAGAGGAGAATTGAATCTGGGGGACAGGGGAGGTGGTGGGGGAGGGACTGGGAGAAGAGGGAGGGGAAACCGCTGTCTAGATGTAATATATGAGAGAGCAATGGAAAAAATAAAAAAAAACTGCAATCAGATTGCTGAAGTAGATGTGGGCTCAAATATTTGAAAAGCAGAAATGTTATCATCTATGAATTGGATCATAATTCACGAGAAAAGGAGAAATAAAGAGTACTTCAAAAGTGGCCACAAAAATGGAAGTTATTGGAAATAAGGAACCATATCTGCTAACTTTGGTCTAAAGAACAGGATGCTTAAACAGAAACATTTCATGTCAAAACTTACAGGAAGGTGCCTATCCTCATACCCATAGCTATCCATCACAAAAAGAAGAAATAGAAACTACGACAGAGTTGAAACTAGGAAAACAACCATCTTTCCGTGCCATTCCAGCAGGAAGTGTGGCAACAGAATAGCATTAAGGAAGGAAGGAAGGGAAGAAAGAAAGAAAGGAAGAAAGGAGGAGAGGGCAGTGTTAGGTGATGGTGGTGAGAAAGGACAGGATGCAGGCAAAAGTACAGGAATTATGAGTAAGAAGAAAAAGAGGACATGCTGGGTCATCTATTTGTATGTCACAGACTGGCATGATTGACATAAAGTAGCAAAAGTTGGAAAGTGGTTCCACTGGCAATATTAAGTCTGCTTGGCATATTGGATGCAATTATATTATAAAACTCTGTTTTTTTTTGAGACAGGGTTTCTCTGTATTGTTTTGGAGGCTGTCCTGGAACTCACTCTGTAGACCAGGCTGGCCTCAAACTCACAGAGATCTGCCTGCCTCTGCCTCCCGAGTGCTGGGATTTAAGGCGTGCACCATCAACGCCCGGCAACTTTGTTATTCTTAAGTTACTTAAACCTGTAATCTTATGATATGAACCTTACCTTAATTCTAAAAAACGCAAAATGTACGATACCAGACTAAAAAACAGATTTTATACAAGTGATGGTATTTCTTTCTAATCACATAGCAAAATACAAGAAAACCAATGAAACAAAGGTAAAGATATAATGGATCCTTTAAAAACAAGGGATGATCCTTTAACTACATTGAAAGTGTTCGTAAACCAGACCTTGTTTAAAACAGCAGCAAAAATTTAGATCAAAAGGATCCATTCAATGTAACGAATGTGTTGAAATATATTGGGAACAATTTATAGTCTATGTGACAGATAAACCCCGACATCTGTAGTGTATGTAGAGTTCTTACAAAATAAGAAACAACAACAAAAAAGTAAAAATAGGAAATTCATAAAAGAAGCTATCCAGACATACTGTATAGAGAGAGTATATTTAGCCAAAGAAATGTCATTGAAGGGACCAGAAATACATCTTTGAAACTGGAAGAAATGAAAACAAAACATAAAACCCATTTCCACTGAAGGAAAAGCAGGCAAGTATTCTTCTTGGAAATGGGAATTGCCAAACAGTAGCTATTAAAATTAAAATTGCCCACAGAAATCTCTCATTTAAAAATCTACTTGTAAAGATAAAACCATCAGTTAAAAGATATAGGTAAGTATATTTGCTATAGTGTCATCCAAAATGGCATAAAATTAGAATAAAAGTGTTATGAGTAACAGAATAGTTCAGTATTATGTTATAAAGCCATAGGCTATTATATGCTATAGAATTAGAGAATATAAAATGCATTGCTGTAGAAGGTCACAAGTTCATTTTGTAAAGAGGACTTGAGTGTAATTTTGCAGTGTGAAGTGAAAAACATAATGTTAAATTACATAAGTGTGTATGTGTAAATATATATGAAACTATTAGCACATTTATAGTATAAATGAGAAAGATGTGAAAGATTATATACATGAGTAATGTATATTGTGTGAATAAATTTTTGATGTGGAGAGAGGGCATAGCAATGATTAAGGATGGAATAAAAGCCACAATATAGCACTAAAAATTCAAAATAAAATACACATACATATATATTTATTGGTGTAAAACTTGTATGCAATTGTGTGTCTGTGTGGGTAACATGGACACTATTACAAAAGATAGTCTCCTCTGATCAGGTTGCATCACTATAAAGAATAACGATTACTAAATGTTACAGGAAACAGGCTTGGTGACCAAAATGCTGCATTTGGACATCATCTATGATTTGAAAAGATTAAGGTGAATTTTAACTACTTTTAAACAGAATTTTGTTAAACAATTAGTAGAATGTTTGAGGTGGTTTTAACCTGGAAGCCTTCTACTGTGTTCTAGGTTTCATAGTACCAGAAGGTTCTATGTCAGGTGCCAAGGGGGAGGAGCAATCACTAGTTCTACCTAGCTGTGATGCCTCTGAACCCCAACAATAATGGTGCAATAGTGACACATATATTGGCAATAGGCAACAACTGCTTAATTAATCTGATGTGCACTCTACAGGAGGAAAATCATGCCTGATTTTTAGATACCTAGTTAACCATCTGTGGCTAGTTAGGCCTTAAAAGACAAACTACTACCACGACTGTACTGGCCAGCATGATTCTTAACAGACTCTAAAATCCATCCTTATACCTACAGATAAATGTAGCTCTCATCCCACATCAAAGAAACTTTCATTTGCATCAATCAGAAACCATCAAAGAAAGCCACAACGCAAGAATCAACTCATTTAGGGAGCCCAGTCTCAACATTTACAACACTACTCCTGCATTGAAGGCTCAAGGAACATCATGGAAGAGGGGCCAAAAAGACTGTAAGAGTCAGAAGTCAGAAAGTCTGCCATGAGATTATGTCTCTTAGAAATGATAGGGAAGCTACACCCGTAACACCTCAACAGGATGGCGTCCTAAATAAGACAATGACAATATCTTCTTGTGGAATGGGGAAATTTGAGTTCTATGCCCCAAAAAAGAACTATGGTTAACTAATGACTGCTAAGAAAGGAAGAATTAGTTTTCCTCAGGGGAAAAAAGGGTGAGAGAGGTCCTTAATTCGTATCCAGTACCAATTGGGCAGCCCTGACATCATATGCAGAGAAGCAACACTAAATGAACTCAGAAGGTTTTATTTATATATTTATGCATATAATTGTAAATATACATATATGAATATTTGTAACAATAACAAAGAAAGAGAGGTTATCAGTTTTTTTAAAATCAGGGATAGGGTAATGGGTGGGGTTTAAGGGGGGAAAAGTAAGGAATGATATAATGATGTAACTATATTATAATTATTTTTCAAAAATTGTGTGTGTGTGTGTGTGTGTGTGTGTGTGTGTATGTGTGGTTCATACCTATAGGCACATGGGCTAATGAGCATGCAAAGGCCAAAGGAGGGCATCAGACGACTTCCCCTATCACTGTCTTAGTTCCTTCAAGACTGGGCTTCCCACTTGGGCAGTCTGGCTAGTGAACTCCTTGGGTCAACCTCTCTGTACCTCTCAACATTGGTGTTAGAGGCACACATAGTGATGCCCAGTTTTTCACACTGGTGTCTGGGCTTTGAAGTCAGATTCTCATATTTGCACATCAAGCACTCTTGTCCACTAAGCCAGCTCCCTAGCCGGTATTTTTAGTCAACTTCTTATCCTTTGGTAATTTATAGCAATTCTATAACATATTTGAAAAAAAAGTTGAGTCCTAGGTTTCTTTTAATTTTGTTTCAGTGACTTGAAAAGTCATTTCTCCAAAGTAGTATATGGCTAATATAAAATTCATAATCTATGGGAGCTATTATATTTAATAAAAATATCTCTAAAATATTTATAGATTCCAATTCAGTGTGCTGAGGCAGATAGGACCAAAAGGGAAAGTAATTAAGTAATACATTGCAATTAATGCCCTCCTCATGCATAAGGATGAGGGCAGAGAAATGAAATGCAATCAGAGACATGATGAAACATAGCCCCTGATTTTCTTTTCTTTTTATTATCAAAAATTTTAAAAATTAAAATATAATTACATCACTCCCCTATCCCTTTCCTCCCTACCTCCCCTCCCATGTCACTATTTCCTCAATTTTCATCATTGTCTATTCGCCTCATTTCCCCAGCTAATCCCAAAATGTCTCTACCTGTTTATCTTAACCAAGACTGACTCACATACTTTTGTTCCATTATCAGTCCTGTTTGTGAAATAATCTATCCTGTAGCAATTTTTCTGACATAATATTCTCACCAGTTCTTAAGCTATGTAGCCAAAGGGGCTCGATTTATTATGAAGCTGGGCTGATCATCAGTTCTCAGATTATTTGCAGCTAAATATTATGAATGGCTTCTAGATAAGGAGAATGGAATTCTGTTATAGACTAAAGCCTCTAGCTCGGAAAATACCACTGAGACCTCATCTTCCTTGCATTTGTGTACTGTGATTCACAGCAAAGAACCAGGAGTCAGAGATGGACTTCCAAGTTCTAATAAAATAGCTACATTGATGTGGAGTGAGTCTTTAGCTTATCTTTCCCTATGGTAGTTGTTCTTAAACACAGACGTGTTTTTCTTTGCGTGGGTTGTAGAAAATCACTATCTGTGAAGATTACCAATAGAAAGAACAAGATGAACCACAACAGAAATGAAAGTGTCTTAGCATAGTACCCAGACTCCACCAACAGAAACTCACTAATAGAAGTCAAGATATCATCTAAAATATACTTCGAGGTATATCTATCACGAAAGTTTGAATTATTCTGCACTTTTCCTGTCCACATATTCACATAAATGTCTACATCTAGGAGGGTATATATCTGGAATTTTGGTGCTATTGCATCCTTAAGATTCTGTAATAACATGGTTTGGGTGAACTGTTTCTGCTCACTTTCATCCTTAAATTGATTAAAAAAAACCTCAACATATTAGGTAGAACAGGCACATATTTGTTGATAATAATTAGCAATGTAATTAGCAGTGTACTGGTTTGCTTTTTGTGTCAGAGTATCTGGACTTGTTTTTCTGAGGACCATTAGGGGTGATCTGAGTTCATTAAGTTGGAGAAATGCTGTTATTTTAGTATCTATCTAAAAGAGGCTTAAAATAACATTTCTGAGGAATACTTTACTACTGAACTTTGATGAGGTCTGTGTATGAAGTAGGGATCAGAGGAAGACCCAGTGATGAGTTCTTTAGTGAATGTGTGCTGGTTACATGTGTCTGGAGCCTCAGACCACTGGAGGAAATGAAAAAGCCTACCCCCTCCCCAGAATCAGGCTCTGAGAGAAATTGTAAAGCCTTCCCTTCTTGTACCTGTGCATCTGTTGCTAGTATGTGCAGAAAATATCCATCGTAACTTTCTCTACCTCATGAAGTTACGGCCTGAAGAATGTTCCCCTAGAGAGGCTGCTCCTAGTGAAATTAGCTGAACCTTTCCTTTTGATTCATCTGCGTATCATAAACCCTGCCTCTTTGTTTCTCTGTATATAATAACCCTGTCTCTTTATTCAGCTCTGAGCAATAACCCTTCCTTTCTGCTCATCTCTTTATAACACACTGAGCTTCTGGGTATGTGGCTTCTCCAGCAGCGAGCACAAACTATCAGATTCCAGCTTTCCATGTCTGTATGTTTGTCTTTTCTGTGTTCCCTATCCATACCAGTCATGTTCAATCCTCAGGAGACTGAGCAATAGTTCTGTTTTTGCCTTCCTTCCTTCCTTCCTTCCTTCCTTCCTTCCTTCCTTCCTTCCTTCCTTCCTCCATCCCTCTGTCCCTCCATATCCCCCTCCCTCCCTCCTTCCATAGCTCTCTCTCCCTCTCTTCCCCCTTCCTTTCCTTTCTTTTTTCCTTTTTCTTTTTTATTGGCTTAGCCTGTGTTGATAAAAGAACAGCAAGCTGGATGGAGTTTGAATGACTCTGCTTCTTGCTAACTCAACAAAGAAAGTGTTTTATAATATGTCTTTCCCTTCTGCACCAGGAGCTGCACTCAAGGGTCCTGTTCAAACAGGGTCATTATTTTAAGGAATTGAAAAACAAATGCAAACACCATTTCCACTCTACTGCTGAAAGAAGAACATTAGTAATACAGAGTGTATTAATTGCTTCTGTGGTGTTTCTGCAGTAGCTGTTGATCTCTGTAAAGCCCCTGGCAAGTTGCAATTTGTTCCCTTGGGTCAAAAAGTGCTAAAGAAACTGGGTGTGGTGCCACACAGGCCTTTAATTCCAGAACTCAGGATGCAGAGACAGGCAGATCCCTGAATTTGAGGCCAGCCTATATTTACACAAAGAAATCCAGGAGAGCCAGGGCTACATAAAGAAATCCTGTCTCCAGGGCGAAAAAAAAGAAAGAGAGGAAAAAAAAAAAAAAAAAGAACTCACTGGCCATGGGAGCATATGGTGTTTCCTGTAAATAAGTAGATACACTGTAGATAAGTCATTCTTTGTATGATAAGGAAATGCCATCAATTTGAAAGATGACTGAATGACTTGTCACCTAAAAACATCAGATATCTGTCTTGTGTTTTCTATTGGTCATGCCAGGGAGCTTCAGATGTATTGCTGTTTTTTTTTTTCTTCCCATAGTGGTATTTTAAAGAGGTTTTGAGTAAGTAGCATAGGATTGGCAGATGAACTTAACCTTTTTAAAAAGCATATGTTGTCTGGTGGCCTTCTATAGAAGGAGATTGGGAGTGACAAACTTGTATACTAATATGAAAGTGAAAGTTTATAATGTACTTTTTTTCCGAAGACATAGGCAATCTCTGCCGATTGATTAATCGCCATGCAGATGAAATTATTATCCTTAAAATATTTAAATACATTTATTTATTTGTGTGTGTGTGTGTGTATGTGTGTGTGCGTGCATGCTTAGGGCACTTGTGGAGGTCAGAGGACAAGTTTTGTGAGTTGGTTTGCTCCTTCCACTATGTGGGTCACAGGTATAACAAAGTGTGTGTGTTGTTAAGTATTTATCAGCCTTGGCAGCAAATGCCATTACCCACTAAGCTATCTCAAAAAAATATCATCTTAAGTGCATTTTGCAAAGTGTTTTAAAAGCTCAGTTCCTAAGTGATAACCAGTATTTATTTATAGAAAGCCAAAAGCATTTGCCCATCTCTCTGCCTCCCTTAAATGTCTGTTGAATTAGTCAGATGTGCAGACACTGTTTTAAACACCTTTGTTAAAGTTCCTTGTTATATTGATCAACCAAATGTTGTTCATTGACTATGTTTATAAATAAAAGATTTTTTAGTAAAGGTGATAGGATTAAAAGATCTGAGTCATGCTACATTATTTTTTAATTTTACTTTTACACTGGTGACTGGGTTTACCTAAGGACTGTTTTTACCTAATTTCACGCATTGAGCACAAGCGCATGCACCCCACCATTTCACTTCACTGTGATGTGTCAAAAAGTATGATCTGAACACGAAAGTCGAGCACATGTGAAATTATGTAAATAAGTGTATGGAATAATGACATTTTCTCAGTGTTTTTGTGCATACACATGCTCAAATGCACATGCATATGCATGCTTTTGGAGGCCAGAAGTCAGTCTTCAGCTGCTGTCCACTTTTGTTTTTTAACTGATACAGGGTCTCTAATTAGCCTGGAATATACCTAGTAGGCTGAGCTGGTTGGTCTGAGAGTCTTAGAGACCTGCCTGTGTCTGTCTTCCCTGGCGGAGTAATAGGTAAGAGCTACTGAATTTTTTAATGGGTTATGGGGATTGAACGCAAGTCTTCATGCTTTTGAGGCAGAGTGAGCTGCCTCTCTGATCCCCAAGATGGGATTTTCATAGAGTACAATTAGATCATGAACCAAGAGGTAACTTCAATGCTAGTACTAGAGCCTACTCTGACAGGTGGTTGAGAAGCTAGAAGAAATGTGAAAAAAAAGGAAAATAAAATATGACTAAAGTATCCTTTAGAAATCACACTAGCCCTAACACATAAGGCTCTCTTTTAAACAGTCTGTCATTTATCAGCCTTGTTTCTACTTTGGTTTTGTGTGCTGATGTCTTTAAGAAGTTTTCTGTGTCATGCAGAATATCATTGGGCTTGGAGAGATTTCTAGTCTTCCAGGATGACTCTTGATTGAAATTGTGAAAGACTCCACCCCTACAGCTCTATTCCTGTCTCATATCTCTGCCCTCCTCATCATATTGAAAGTATGGCTAATGCAGGAGTTTAGATCAGTAGTACCATATTGGTGGGCTTTCTTTCTTATTCATGAAAACTATCACACCACCTTATTAATTTTCCCTATGTGTGTTATAAGTAATTTTTATCTGTTCACCATTCTGGATAATGTATTTCTTATCTAGATCACTAATATAGATACCTTCTATACTCATGTCTCAAAATTTCCTTCATTAAACAGTCCTAACAAAAACTCAATTTCCCCCATCCCACTCTTCCTAAAATCAACTAAATGAAGATATGCCTGGACTACCTGATTCAGTGTGTGTGTGTGTGTGTGTGTGTGTGTGTGTGTGTGTGTGTGTGTGTGTGTACAATTACTTGCTCTCTTGCTTGTGTTTCCTACTTAGTATACTGGTCTTTGAACTACATTTATAGATTTATTGCAAGATTCTCCATAAGGAAGGCTCAGATGCTCAGTACAGGGCATGGAGGAAGTGGGCAGCAGATAGATTAAGATGCACACATCATATTTGAACACAGGTGCTTTCCCATGCTTATACATGATGAGTTTATTGAAATTGAAGAAAGATTAAGCGACTTGCTCAAGACAGGTGGCAGGTTGAGTATGACTACCAAGGTCTCTTGAATTTTCCCGTTTCTCAGCCGTTATTTGGTTATTGTCTTGATAAAAATTTTAGGGAGGGCAAAAAATCTACTAAATGTACATAAGTGATTTTATCCCATGAGAATATTAAATTATAGAGTTTACTTTCTATCATGATAAAGGGCATTAAGACCATAAGTACCCTCTTTATTCAATCCTAGCTTTTAAGTATGGTATTAGTCTACTTGATTTTACACTTAGACAAAAAATAGTTTTCATTTTCTTGTTATTGTTCTCGCTAAAATAATGTTGGTGAACTTCAGAAAGTTTCAGATTGGGTCAAGAGATGGCTTTGATTTGAAGATATTCCTTGAAATGCTATTAACCAATATGAGAAAACATATCTTTATTAGTCCATTTTCTGCATGGAGAAGGAAAATATTTTCAGAATTAATCTGTGCACATGCTTGAGACAATGATACAGTCCTAAAGTCAGACCCTGAAGAACACATTCTTTTCACTTCCTTTCTTTGCTTTACCCTTTCCTTTTGTACTCTGAGCATTTTGGTTCAAGTGAAAGGAAATCCATATTGTTTTCTGTTCCGGAACATTCTGGTAACAATATATATGAAAAGTAAAAGATGGAGTAAGGGATACGGGCTCACTTTTTTTTAAGGTCAATTATTTCTATGTTTTGGTGGTCTGCTAAGCAATCAAATGTCTTTGATCATGAAATAATTTTAAGTGAATTAACTGTGTGTTTTGTAACTTCTACTTCATTTGAAGATGATTGAACAGTAAAAAATGCCTGAAATGTTTCATGAGAAATTATATTTGTCCATACTGAAATGAAATAATATGGAATGTTGATGCAAAATACAACAATTTGATGTAGTTTTATGTATCATAGTACATAAACTAATTTTCAACTTCTAAAATTATAATTTTACCAACAATAATTTGACAAGACACAATAGTCATTAACAATGTGGTTTTGGCAGTAATAAAACAAACATAAAAAAAGGTCCTTTTGAATTTACTTTTTTCTAAACCTCTCAACAGTCTAATAGTACAGTTGTTTTTCTCTAATCAACTTTGTTTTACACATCATGCTTAACAAGAAAACATCTTCCATTTGCTGTTTTCAGAGTTATCTCATACTGAGGTTTTTTTGTGTGTGTTTTCTTTTCTTTTACTCACTTTGCAGTCACAAAATGAAAATGTAGACACCATGTACAAACAAGAAGTTCGTGCAAAGTCAAGTTTTCAAAACCACATGCAAGTCTCAGCGGCACATGGCTTAGAGCTCACACGCTCCAGGATCATGTAATACTGGCATGCAGATGAGAGGAGAGAAAAGCACCTACATCATGAAGAGAGGATGATGAAAGAGAATGACATTTTCTTTATGACAATTATCTAATGCAAACCGTATACCCATAACCTCTACCAGCATGGGAATGGGGGCAGAGAAGTAAATTTTTGTGGGGAGTAGGAAGCTACATAAACATAATTGGAGGTCAAGTTGTTACTGAGATGGAGAATTTCTATTCTGTACTTGGCCTCTTCCGTGTTATCTTCCCCAGCTTCTTGCTATGTTTTTCCTCTGCTATATCATGCAAGAAAGATCAGAACTAACACTGGAAATCACTTAACAAGCTCTAAACCTGACAGATAGCAAGGGTATTCTCCACAATTTACACGAGAATTAAATTGGATATAAATACCTCCTGTTCTTACCGGTGGGTGTTGTGATTCCATGTGTTAAGGTGTGAAGCAGACAGGAAAGAGATAAATCTTTCATAAGTACATTGTAAATAGGCAAGTGGTATAGAAACCATATTTATAGGTAATAGAGTCAAACAATGATAGGTAAATAATTGTCACAAAATATTTTATCATAAAATGGTCGTAAACCTAGATTTTAATGGAGAAGGGAGGTAAAAATAAGTGACTGTTGTACTACTGTTATTGAAGTACTCTGGCAGTATGAAACAATAAAATTGAGTGACACATATTTTAATGAAATATTCTTGACACTGCTTAAGCCAGCCCAGCACTAGCAATTCCCCAATGGTTTTGAATGCTGGTATCTTTGTTAAGCAATCACAGTAACAGTTTAGAAAAGCAACCAAAATATAGGTGCTTTTTCTTACAAGATTGAAATCATTTCAGAGGAGATTAATTTATTAAGTGGATTTTTCACCCTGAACTTTGGGACACCTGAAAATAACAGCTCATGGGATTGAGCTAATTTTTTTTGGCTTAAATGTGTTCATTTAGTTATTCAAATTAAAAATTTTAGGACAATATGATTTTATTTCTCAGCAAATAAATCACATGCAGCTATGATAAGTTTATTTACATATAAACGTGTCTTTGAGTTGGCAGCAATTGCTCTATGGCCTTCACCATGATTTCTATTTTTGATGCATTTTTTTTGTTAGAACTTCTCTGGTCAAATGGAAAATAGCGATCTGAATTGTACATATACACTCACACAAAAGCGGCATCATGTAATTGATGGAATCAAATATGAATGGTTTATTTTCAGAACAGGGGAGTGATAAAAGGATGTGCTGTGTTTTTTGTCTTTTCCAATAGCTCTGTAATAAGTAGTGGGGTTTGGCTTTGTTGCATAATTTATCTGTAGCATTAAACTTCTAAAGCCAAACAGCAAGGTAAATAATGTGAGCAATGCTCTTAATCCCCCCAAAAGTCTTCAGAACCCATTCATCTTAATTATGTTGAGTTCTATGTAGTGATTTAGGAGGTACTTGTGACAGGTTTTTTTTTTTTAATTTCAAATATTTTAAAAGGTGCTCAGGAATGTCTGTTTCCCCCTTGAGCAGAAAGTCATGAAACCAAGTATATTGAAATGGAATATAATTAACTGTTATAAAGGAAGTATGAAACTTCCTGCCAGAAGTTCTGACACACTTAAGGTCCCTATACTTTCCTCCAAGTATTCAAGATGTCCTACTTCAAAAAATGTGTTAATCTTGGATCTCTGCTTAGGGTCATCAGAATTGTCACAGTTCGTTTTCCCGAATCTTAATTGCTTATGGGTTTAGCAACTTTTGTTGTTGTTGTTTATTTGCTTGCTTGTTTGTAACCAGGCCACACCATGAAGGTCTGAGTTTTAGCTAAGACAACGTTTCCTGTAATTGGAGATGGGAACTCTATGACACATAGTTATATCAGTTTGCATCATGTTATAATGCCTTTGCCACACAGTATAACTAGATATAGCACCATGCAATGCCATGAATTGAGAATGAGACACTATCTCCAGGGGAGAAAATAAACATCCAGGAGAAGGAAACAAAAGCACGGGGCTCAAAGCTGGCGAGGCTGGCCTTTCATTGAGCTATAGCTGTAACGCCTGCGGAGCTTCTGTTTTGGGAAACAGAAATACATACCATGTTCATGTCAATGCCGTTGGTGTAAGTCCATGCGTGCTGGAAATACTCTTCAAGCCGTTGCCTCAGAGGGTTGGGGATTTGGTGGAAGCGAATGAACTCTTTCACTCTCAGCATTTGCATGTGGTACCTGGCAGTTCCCGAGTATAGTCTTTGAATAATCGCAGAAACATTCCCAAAAATGCTTGCATACATTAGGGCTGGATTGGATAAAAAACAAAGTTATGGGGGAACACTGCACTTGGGCATAGTATATTTTCTCAGAATATCAAATGTGCTGATTTTAGTTATTTAACCCAAGTATGTCAATTTGCCCCTGACACTTTGATAAACCAATCCTTCATACATTTTTTTAACATAAAGGGATGTAAAGAACTCAAAATCATCATGATTCAAAGTAAAATCCATATTGCTTTATGAGATACACCTGCAACCAAGAACATTAACTAGATGTTCAATACATTTGTGATAAACTATCTTATTTGTAGTCAGCTAAATCATAGTTGCCATGGCCATTTTTTTAAAAAGAGAAATTCATTAGGCAAAAATATCCTCTAGGGATTTTAATACTACCTTTTTAGTAATTTATATAGGTTTACCATTAAGCTCTGGTGGGTAACTAAGAGCAATAGCAATATCCTATATTGTTTGGGGGGTTTCCAGGACAGTCTTGATTAACACCTCTAGGAGAAGTATCACAAAAGCCCTAGACTTTTTATGTGGTGACCTATGGCTTTTGGGAGGAACATTATCCCCTGTTTAGGCTAACTCGAATTTAACTTTGTTATATGAATATATATATATACATAAACATTCACATATATGTTTATATTACAAAATAGTAGGTTTCTATATGGCTGTCTCTCTTCCCACATGATACTGTTGTAGGACATGGAGAAATCAAATTGGTATGGACCAGGGAGCTTTTCCCCTGTTGGCTGGCTTTCATAGTATTTGTAAATGATATGCAGAATGCTAGAGGGAAATGTTGTCAACAATCTTACTCAGCTGTGAACTTTTAGAGCTAAAATAATAACCAGCATGGATGACATGCAGTAATCAATTTATAATCAGCTCCACAGAAGGACACTAGTAATATAAATCTGGCCAAGAACACATGGTTGGGAAGGTCATATTCTCAAGGATGAACCTATCACCATTACTTTACTGATGGACATAGTATCAACCCACTCCCTAAATTATATTATTTAGTATCACCCATATATTAGTGAAAACCTTGGACCTCATCAGTGGTGGTTTTTAGTACAGCAGACGATAACACAGAAACTCACATTGGGTCAAAGTTCAGACAGCCAGTATACTAAGAGTATACTACAGTGCACTTTCCCCTCCCTCCAAGGTTCAGGGAACATCAAGGAAGAAGAGGTAGAAAGATTTTAAAAGCCAGAGTCAGGGAGGACCAGAGCAAAACAGTGTCTTCTAGATGTGACAGGACCAACTGCACTCATGACCTCACAGGGGTTGTGGTTGCCTACACAAGAACAATCCAGGCAGCAATCTAGCACAGGTGAGGAAAGAGCTCCTGACAGATGATGGCATCTTGGGGAGGGAAAGTCAGTTCTTTAAGGTCATGGATCCTGGGAGATCAACCATACTCTGGGGAATGACGGTATATTCATGAGTACATGGATAGCACAAATCAGACTTGGTAGGTTATAAAAAAGGTGGGTAGTAACATGAAGCTGGAAGAAGAGCTGGAAGAATGGGTGGAGCTGGGTTGGGTGGAAGGAGGCCCATGATTATATCCTATACATGTACGAAATTCTCAAGGAATTAATAAGATAGTATAAAAAAATAAAAAATTAATCTTGAGCTGGGCAGTGGAAGTGCATGACTTTAATCCTAGTACTTGGGAGGTGGATCTCTGTGAGTTCAGTGCCAGCCTGGTCTGCAGAGCTAGTTCTTTGACAACTAGGGCTATTACACAGAGAACTCCTGTCTTGAAAAAACCAAAAGCAAAATATCTTGAATCATACTTAAAATATTAATTTCAAAAAAGGACTTATTTATATTACATCCTTGTAATAAAATTGTACTGCAAATTTTCAAGACCTTGAAGTTCTCAAATAATTGACTAATTTTCTTATGGAACATAGAATTTTCTTAGTATTAATTTGTATGTAATTTTTAATTTACTCCAATTTGATTTTGTTGACGCCCATACAAATATCTGTCTTAGAAAAAAAATATATATTGCTTAACTTTTGCCAGGAAAGCTATACCACATTTTTGCTCATCTATTGGAAGAAAGCGCTATGATACCTAAGTACACTCATTAACTCTTCTTGGGATAATATTTTTAAAAAATGAATAGGAGTTTTTCACTTGCATGCATGTATGTGCATCATGTGTGTGCTTTGTGTCCACAGAAGCCAGAAAAGGTGTCAGATCCCTGGAACTGGAATTGTAGATGGTTGTGAGCCCCTATTTGGTTACTGGGACTGAATGCATATTCTCTGTGAGAGTAACAGGTGCTCTTAGCCACTGAGCCATTTCTCCAGCCTTTGGGCTAAATTTTTATTAAAAATAAAAATTTCATATTCTTACTGTTTTTCTTGTTTGTTTGCATTTCTAATAATTCTACATGGAAACACTGCATTTCATATAGAAGAATCACATGATATGTTTTTTGCTTATGGATCTTTGGGAGGCTATCAAGAGCTTTGATGTGGCAACGAAGGCTTCAGGCTCCAATACACGAGCAGGTGGGAGAAGTACCAAAAGCAACAACATAGTTTGAAGTGTGAGATTCAACTATGTTCATCCAACACATCTTTTTCCTTGAAATGCGTTATCTGGACAACACTCTAAAATCTACTTGCTCATTTAAAAAATAGATGCTACCAGACCTAGGCTCTGCTGCATTAATGTATTTTCTTGACCTTTTCCTTCCCAGCTCATTTCCTTGGCATATCTTATCATGCTTGATTGTAATAGTCTTTGTTTGCCGTAGATGTCCAAGGAAAAGGATGTTTCTGGGAAAGGAATGATCATTTATTAAAATACATGAAAAATGAGGACGTGTGAGGATTAGACAACTTCTCTAGGGCAGAGTATTCAAATAATGTGATTGTGTGACACTCTGTGTGAGTCTGAAAGGGTGTGTTTTGTTGAGACTCCTATCTCAAATTAACATCTCAGATAACTAATGCAGATTGATTTCTCCTCTGTAGGTAGTCATCATCCATAGAGGTCAACGTCTGAGTAGATGTTGGAGCAGGAGAGAGAGTTCATTCTTTCCTCTCTAGGGTAGAACATTAATTTTCTCTTGATTCTAGACCAGGGATGAAATTATGCCTTGGCTTACCAGCAAAACTCTGTAGATCACTTCTTTATCCTGGGTATCTGTTTGTTTCTTTGGTGAAAATCTTGACTAACCTAGAGTGAGGCTAAGTTGACCTGTGTGTGAAACATCAGTGCTCTGCAATTTCCTGTGTGCAAAGTATCAGTCATTTGCAATGTCAATCAGCTGTTAGGTTGCTTCCTGTTTGGAAGTAGCAGCAGATAGAAATCGTTTTTAATTTGAGTATACTAAAACTTGGTTAATGAGATAGCAATATTCAAATGAAATTGATTCATGTGACTCATGTGAGAAGCATATTTTACTCATTGGAAAAAATTATGATATGTAAAAGTGTACTTTACATATCGCTGACTTTCCAAAGTGCCTGTGACACTTTCATGAAGCAGATAGTGAGAGCACAAGACCCTAACTAGATCTTTTTCCCCAAAGCTCCTATTATAAGGGAAAGTGGTCAGAAATCAGTACATGATAGTAGTTTTATCTCTGTGAAAATGATTGAAAGTCATAACACAGAACCAGAAACTGCCTACACTGTCAAGATGGAAAAACTAAATTCTAAGTATGGCATTGGAAACACAAATGGAAAAATTGGAGGATGTCTTTGCTAAATTCTTAGCTAATGAATTTTAAAATCCTAAGGAAAACATGAGGTCTTATCCACCCCATTCCACTTTTAAAGCAAAATATCACCAGCTAGAGAGAACAAATTATTGTATTCTGTGTATCTGATTCAGTTGGTGTCCATTCACTGGCATAGAATACTGGTCAAGTGAATATTGGCAAAATAAACAGGTAAATGAATGAATGAATAAATAAATAAATAAATAATACTGTCTCTATATAAATTCCTCTCTTTAATTCAACATTTCATTAGGGCTTCTTCAGTGAAAAGTTTTGATTTCATCAAAATTGTCTTTAGGTTGAAGTATTAGAGAAAGAAAATGAATATAACCCCCGTCAGCCCTCTCCCACCCATATCAGCACATACTAAATGCTAATGAAGTGTTAACTTTGCATTCTATGAGAATCACCGCAGTTTGCTTTTTATCTACTCTATGTATTTTAAAAAACATGTAAACAAAGAATGAATTTTTTGATGCATAATAAACACATAACTAGATGTAGTCATTTTAAGTATATAGTTCATTCAGTTGTGACAAACGAGAACATTATTGTTGAGATATGAGCTTGTTTCTACCATCCCAGAATACTTCCTTGCATCACTTAGTTGCGTGTTGCTTCTTTCAGAGAACTACAGACAGGCTTCATTTGCTAGGTACCACAGCACACATTCCATACATGAGTTTGCCTTTTGTTCAGCATAACTATGAGAATCATTGTGTCTATCACTATTTTTTTAAAAAAACTTTTAAATCATAAAGATGCACCAAAGTTTGTTTATATTATCTGCTGATGGAAAACATAGCATTTCTACACAGTAAAAACTGTCATGAACATTTGTGTACAGATCTTTGTGTGGGCATGTGTTTTCATTTCAGTTTTAAACATCTAGGTGTGGAATTGCTGTGTGGTATGGCTTGTCTAACTTTACAAGAAATTAATTGTTTGCCAAGGTTGTCTTATTTTATGTTTCAGCAAGCATACTATGGCAATACCATTTGTTCTATATCCTGCTGACATTTGATAGTGCCAATTTAAATTTACCATGGTAGCATGTGTAGTGTGTCTCATTAGTGTTTAATTTTCATTTCACCGATGATTAATGCCACTTTTAGATGTACTTTTTTACATGCAGGTGTACTTTTGGTACAGTTATGTTAAAGTAATTTGCTCATTAAAAAAACAAAACAAAACAAAAACCCTCAATTATCTTTTTGTGAAATTGTAAGAATTCTTAATATATTCTGGATGCCA